TTTTTTTTTTTTTTTTTTTTTGAGATGGAGTCTTGCTCTGTCACCCAGGCTGGAGTGCAGTGGCACAATCTCGGCTTGCAACCTCCGTGTCCTGGGTTCAAGTGATTCTCTTGCCTCAGCCTCCCAAGTAGCTGGGATTACAGGCACCCACCACCACACCCAGCTAGTTTTTGTATTTTTAGTAGAGATGGGATTTCACCATGTTGGCTAGGCTGGTCTCAAACTCCTGACCTCAAGCAATCCACCTGTCTGGGCCTCCCAAAGTGCTGGGATTACAGGCATGAGCCACCGTGCTCAGCCTCTCTGCTACTTCTAAGCTACTAGATGGGGTTTTAGTAACTAGTTTACTAAATAGGACAGATAGGACACAATTAACTATTTGTGGCTATTGCTGCATTTATAGCCTAGGATAAGCCCTGATTTATTTGATTAGTCCTCATTCTGTGAGTGACCTCTCCTCTCTGTTTTTCAGGGTTAAAGCACGAATTGGGAGCTCTCAGCGACACCACCAGTCAGCAGCCAAAGACCTAACTCAGTCCCCTGAGGTCTCCCCAACAACCATCCAGGTGACATACCTCCCCTCAAGTCAGAAGAGTAAACGTGCCAAGCACTTCCTTGAGTTGAAGAGCTTTAAGGATAACTATAACACATTGGAGAGTACTCTGTGATGGAGCTGAAGGACTCTTGCCGTAGATGAAGCCAGTCAGTTGCAGTGTGCAAGACAGGCTGCTTGCCGGGCTGCCCTGGGGACATCTGACTCAGCAGGCCCAGACTGTATCCATCGAAGTTCCCGTTGTATCCAGAGTTCTTAGAGCTTGTGTTTAAAGGGTAATTCCCCAACCTTTTCTTATGGGCATTTTTAGAACATTGGCTAAGACTATTTTCCCCCAGTAGCACTTTTTTCTGGATTTGCATTCAGGTGTTATTCTTAATGTTTCTGTCAAAGCTTCTTAAAAATCTTCACTTGGTTTCAGCCATAGTTCACCTTCCCTGTTCCAGGTTTATTTAATTCCAAAGGTGAGAGTTGGAGAGAGATGTCTTCCATATCTATACCTTTGTACACAGTTGAATGGGAACTGTTTGGATTTAGGGCGTCTTAGAGTTGATTGATGGAAAAAGACAGGAACTGGTGGGAGGTCAAGTGGGGAAGTTGGTGAATGTGGAATAACTTACCCTTGTGCTCCACTTAAACCAGATGTGTTGCAGCTTTCCTGACATGCAAGGATCTACTTTAACTCCACACTCTCATGAATAAATTGAATAAAAGGGAATGTTTTGGCACCTGACATAATCTGCCAGGCTATATAACAGTAGGAAGGAATGATTTCCCCTAACAAGCCAATGCACTGGTCTGACTTTATAAATTATTTAATAAAATTAACTATTATCAAATAAAACATGAATCAGTCCTTTATAGTTGTCTTTTTATAAAACAGGCATTTGATAATGTTGTCTGCACATTTCTAACAGGGTATAAGGCGTGAGGATTTGCCTCCAGAGAATTGGTGGGACTGTGTGCATACCCTGGACCTAGGACCATACAGATACTCCTTGGGACCCTAGCACAAGAAATCCTAAAATCAGGACTGTGACCCTTGCTCATAGAATTGCCTGTGTCATCAACAGAAGGATGCAGAACAAGGATTCTTTCAAGGTTTCTGGGGCAACAGGCCAGGTGGCCAATCAACTCCTAGGCCCAGGGTTATTGTTGGAGGCGTAAATGTTACTATGACTACTGAAACCTTGGTTACTGAACTAAACAGAAAGAGGAGCCTGTCAGTCTCCTCAGGCTGTATCAAGCAAATCTATAGACATGCCTGTGGAAAAGATGACAAAAGTAGAAGAGGTACGCAGAGTTGGAAGGAGGGACTGGGCTGAAGTTTGATGAGGTTTCCAGATCAATTTACTATAAGTGCATCTTTTACTGGGAAAGGCTTTTGATGTAACAAGGGTACAATGTAGTTAGTAACAGGAGGGGAGGCTATGTCTAGAACATAGTAGGTATTCAAATATGTGTTCCATCCAACCCCTGCATGTTTTCTTTGATCCATTCTGAAAGAGCTTTTCTCTCCCTATTTCCCCCTAGGAAATTGCTTTCTCAAAAATGTCTATGTGGCTGGGTGCTGTGACTCATGTCTGTAATCCCAGCACTTTGGGAGGCTGAGGCAGGCAAATCAC